TGGATCTGCAAGATCTGTTCCTTCACTTACCCCAGCAGATCATAGATGGGGGTAGATGTTGGCCTGGGCCAACCCATAGCCCTGGTTCTGGGCCTGGGTGGTTGCTGTATTGGTCAGCCCACCAACTGTCTCCCATCCTCATCACCGGGGTGAGCTCTCCAGCACTTCCCTGCCTAGTTCACCCCATGAAGCAAGGAGCAAGGAGCGGGGCGGGTTCTCCTGCTCTCATGGCCCCCAGGGTCGCCTCACATACACCTACCCCACCAGGGCCAGCTTGACTGTGCTGCTCAGGGGAGGTGCAGGACCTGCTCTCCTGAGTGCTACAGCTGATGAGGGGCTGGGCCAGCTCCCTACTTGCTGCAGGTGGTGAGGAGTGGGGGGAAGGGCATCTATGCCACCCCATGGCAGACTAGGAGAGCGGGACCATCTTGCCCATGTCCCCTGGAACAGGGTCAGCTCCCTTGTGTTGCCCAGGCAATGATGTCAGATCCGCTCTCCCTAATGCTGCAGCCAAGGAAGGGGCGGGGCCAACTCTGTGCAGCCCTATTCTCTAGGTCTTCAGTGGTAAAAGGAGCCACAGACAACAACAGACCATGGCTGCATCAGGACCATGGACCCAGACAGCAGCCCAGACCTGGGCATCACCATGGCCCTGGGTGGTGAGCAGACCACCAACCTCAGCCCACTCCTCGCCACTTTCACCTCTTCAGATCTGCCTCTCTCCAGAGGACAGGAACCCTTTTCTCCTCTCTCCTCCCTACTCCCCCCTCTTCCCCAATAACCCACAATATATTTGCTCATTATAATAGTGTCCGACCACCCACCCAGCACCACAAGGTACCAGATGAACCTGTGTTTTCTCCCAGGGCAGGTCACTTGGGGCAGGCCTGTGGGTCTCCTTCTGCTCAATCATAATAGTGCTGGATAGGGTTGTGTGTTATCCCTGATGCCTGGAGCAGGCCCTTTTTCTTTCTTTCTTTTTTTTTTTTTTTTTTGAGACAGGATTTCTCTGTGTAGTCGTGGTTGTCCTGGAACTCATTCTGTAAACTAGGCTGACCTCAAACTCAAATATCTGCGTACCTCTGTTTCCCAAGTGTTGGGATAAAGGCATTCAATGCCACCACTCAGTGACACCTTTAAAACTATCTGACAAATCACATACATCAAAGTCCACCCAGGGAACAAATTCATTAAGAAACAACAAAATGTCCAGAAGTGGTGGCCTTGAACTTGCAATCTTCCCATGGCTGTCAAGAGTTGGTCTTACAAACATACATCACTATGCCTGCTAACTACTAAATCTTTTTGTTCTGGTTAGAAGCAATAAGCAGAGATTTTGACCACTCAGTTAACAGCTACCAGTGATGACCTCGCTTAAATGTTTCTTGAATCTTGATGTCCACCGAGAAGAGTGAAAGGGACAGGCAAGGAAGAAGTTGTCAGTAAACATTTGAGTGCGTCACTAGGTGCTGGGGACACAAAAGTGCAAAGGCATAGAATCTTCGCTTGTGCTTTGTCCACTTAAGTTCTGTCTCTCCTATCCGTCCTTACCTTTAATTCTTAATGAGCGCTAAAGGAAAAGTCCATGTTTGGAGCCACACAAGCTTCTGATTGATGCACTCCTATAATCCCAACACTTAAGAGGCTGGCGGAAGGATTGCCTCAATCTGAGGCCGGGCTGGGCTCTAAAGCAAGTACCAGGCCTGCCTGAGCTGCCTGGCCAGAACCTGTCCCAAAATAAACATGAAGAGCTAATCTGATCCTATTGAGTAAAATTTTAGAATTACCTTACAAACTCACCAATTCTCCTAATCTCTTTGGGATAGAGTACTCTAACTGTAGAACGCAAAGATTTCCAATTCTCAACCGGAGTGGAGGAAAATAGAAAAACTAAAATTTGAAAACCCTTTCTATTGGAAATCATTCTCTGAGTGTGATGAAAAGAGGAGACTGGCAATATCATCTCCCATCTAGACCATAAATAGCAGAGAGGGTACAGAGATGAGCAGAAGGGCAGAAATGAGCCCCAAAGTTACTGTTGACAAGTCTTTCTTGAGGGCCTTGGCAAGTAAGCCCAGGCACCTCCAAGAATAGACCAGTCTTCTTGGATGAAATGCCCGTCCTAGGTCTCACTCTATTTTTTTAATCACAGGCTGTCTGAAAGACTCCCTCAAGTGAAGAACAGAACATTCGTTTACCTTTACAATGATTTCATTACCAGCTTTAGGAAGGACAGTTTCCATATAGGAAGCTCCATTCCAATTATTGTGCTAAGGTAGCAATCATGAGAAGACTTTAGAAAACATGACGCTAGCTTATCAAGCCATTAAAAGAATCGTTGAGGAGCTGGAGAGAGGACTCAGTACTTCAGTGCACTTGGTGCTTGGCCAAAGGACTGAAGTTTGGTTCCCAGCAATCCCATTAGGAGCTCCCAGCTGCTTGTGACTGCAGCTGAAGGGGCTCTGATGCCCTCTTCTGGTCTCCAGCGGAGCCTGCATCCGTGTGGCATACAGTCATAGAGACACATAAGTTTACAAAGCAAATCTTAAAAACACATCGAAAGCTTTAACATCTAGTACAGTTGCTGAAATCACACGTTTATTTTTCTTGAGGACCAACAGATTCTGCTTGGGCAAGATGCCAGGAAACAGTAAGTTAGTAATGCTAGCCTACCTTAGGGCTGTGTGCACAGAAGGAAGCAGCAAGGCCTTGAAGTCCCAAACCCAACCTGACAAGGTTTTCTCCTCCTTAGCTGTCAATCACTTGTTAAACAGAGCACCAGTAATGCCGCTGTGTGAGAGAGGCGGGTGCTACCAACACTGTAGCCACGCTGAAAGGCACTGCCAGCGCTCTGCCACACTCGAGTCACCTAAGGGGCCCCTGCAGCGAGTCTGGAGTAAAGGCCAGGCCTCAGGTCAAGAGCCCCTGGGCTGTAAGGGAAGCACATGCACCTGAGAGGAGCTGGTTTGCAGAGGGGCCTGACTTGTGAGTAGCAAAGATGAGGCTTGTTCCTGCTGAAGGGTGGCAGCAGGAAAAACTTACATATCATTTTGTTATTTTCTTATCCAAAGAGAGACTGTTATGCTGCTGGTGTCGCCAGTGCTCAGGGAGGCCAAGGACAGAGCAACATTTGGAAATGACAGCTGCCATCAAGCGCCTAGGCTGGTGAGTGGCGAAAATTGGGTGTTTAAAGTTGCTTCTGAAAAACTCAACGGGGAAATGGCAGTAGATAGATATTTGTTACCACCAGCCACAGGTGGCTACATTTCCAAAATAATTTCAAGTCAAAAATGCTTGCCACATTTTAACTGTTGAGGTGGCCAGTGTCAGCCGTCGCCGACAGCAGACACAGAACGAGAACATCAAGGCAGAATTTGAGTGGTGGAGGGTAGTCTTCAGGAACGGCTCCCGGAGGGCAATCTCTTCTACACAAAGCCTGATGATTTATTCATGTGATCAAAGTGTTAATCTCCGTGTTGTTGTGAAGTGAGCATTGGAAAACATCAGCAGATAATCACTTGCGAGCATGCATTATGAAGTCATTTGGGAAGGATTTGGAAGCGAAGGACAAGGAAATAAAAACACAACACACTGCAGCATAAATCTCTGCAGCAACTTCACGGAAGGACACGGTCTCGAGCAGAAGACTCTCTCGGTCAGTCTGAATTATGTGAATTCAAAACCAAGACAGGAGCAGTTTCCACAAGAATGCAGTTCCCAAGTCATGAACAACTCCTAGTACAATGGCTGGCTATTGGTAAAACACAGATGTAAAACTTCTCAAACCAAAACTCACTTCTGCATTCTTAAGGCAAAATGGGTAACATCAAAGTAGCTGGTTTTTATTTGGTGTTTTGAGATAGGATCCAAGTAGCTCAGGCTGCCCTTGAATTCACTACGTAGCTGAGGATGACCTTGAACTTTTGATCCTTTTACCTTTACCCACCAAGTGTTGGGATTACAGATGTGTGCTGCTATGTCTGGCCTAAGTAGCTGATTGCTAATCACTTGGGTTTTTCTTTAAAGTACCATGAAACATCAACCTTGGATATGGGTCTAAGAAACCATGTAGTCCAACTTGGTAATTTTATAGAGGAAACAAAATCTCACATAATACAACTAACTAGTAACAGATCATGACTTCCTTAATAATCCCCTTAATAATCAATTGTAATTGATTTCTACTGATTAGTACATAATAGAGCGGCTGTGGCTTCCATATTAAATTTGAAACAACACCTCTTCGCTACTGAGTCCTTAGCATGAATGACACACTGCTAAGTATATGAAGAATCCATCTTTTTATCTAGGAAGCACGTAATTGCACCTAAATAAATTTGGGGGCAGTGGTATTGCTGCTGCCCCTTTCCCGAAAGACAACATGAAAGAAATGGCCCTTTAATTGAAATCTTCAAGATATCTTCAGAACGCTGTTGCAGAAACTCCCAGATTTGCACTTCTAAAGTCATTCTCTTGAAGCATTTATTAATATTTCGGAGTCATAACCCCAGAGAATCTGAGTTGCAAGAGTGAAGAGAAAATCTAGACCTTCACATTTAGTCATTTCAGATAATTCTGGTGCAGGTGGTCTGCCCAGAGCAAGCCAGTTTATACCCGTTTACAGTCTACAGCATAATAGTGTCCTCTCCTGTAAGTGTCCTGACTGGACATCATATGGTCCCCTCCCCCCACATGTGAACCATAGTTAGGAAGATGTCACAGGGACATTCACCGCTACACATTTCCTGTGTTTTATGCATAGGGTGGGTATCCTGTAAAAATGTGATTTCAGTGTCCTTTGCTGCAGAGAACACAAATAATTGATTTTTCACTCTGATCAATCAAAAGAACTTGTCAGTGTCCTTGTGCCTCCCAGGCAACTTGCAAAGGAGCCTGCTGCTGCTTAGGTGTTACATTTCAGAAACAGAAGGCGAAGTTTATCTCGGCGAGAGTGATGGGAACACAGAGCAGAGAGCTCAGAAAACAGCACGCTAATGAGCTGTGGAAAACAACTGCCATTTATTGTTCTGGTTACCAGGGTACAGAATTGCCCGGCGTGAGGCCGGACAGATCTGGTTATGACAAACAACAGATTGCTCAGCAACTCATGAGGAGCACGGCCCAAGCCACACGGGTCTCCGGTTGTGTTTTTCCAGCAGTCACAACACCCTTTTCTCTGTGGACCACAGAGTGACAAATGACCCCATCTAGTCATCCCTCATTCATGACAGCATAACTTATGGGGCTGAGCTTCATTCTACAAAGCACAAGGTTGCTCGGGAACTGTGGACATGTGTGGACATTCATCACTAAGTCAACAGACGCACGGAGTGAGCCAGGGCAGACTTGAACTTATGGGTCCAGACTGCAATGGCCATTTATTACACGTGTAAGTTAATATTTGTCTCTTATCAAACCCACAATTATTCCATTTAGACAACACTAATGAGTCAAGGAGTTACAAAGAGAACCTGGCAAAGCATCGAACTTTTCCCTCACACCTCTTTTGTCTAGTTCTAGCATCTCCTAGGCATTCCAAAGTTGTGTTCTAAGGAAACAGATCCATTTCAAGCACTTGGGTGGGGACTTGGAACAGCAAATGCTCTGTTTCTAAACCTTAAGCAGCAATCATGATTTCAAATAACATCAAAGCACGAACTCAGCAGAGTGTGGGGCTAGCTCTCCCTTTCTTCCAAAGTGTCACGGTCCACAACTGCTCAAGTACAACGTGCGCTTCAGTCCTGAGCACTGCTTAGAGAGAAGCGTCTGGAGCGACCAACAAAAGGGAAACTGTGGGGACAACAGGACACAATTTCTGCAAGATATAGCATGATTCCTAGTAATTTGTTTCCTGTTTTCAATGCCATGGCGGAAGCCAGGCCTCCACACATACCACGGCAATGCGCAGTCGCTGCACTACATCCCCAGCCCAGCTCCTTGCAAATTTGAAATCACTTAAAGCTTCATACACTGTAGGTAAACTTTGCTTTTGCTTCCACCTGAGTCACTATATTTAATAGTCTCAAAAACATTTATTGGTCTACATCATGTGTCAGCTGTTAGAGGACCTTTTCAATGTGGAAAGCAACCAAATGATGCTGCGAGGTTCCCCCAGGAAGTTACATAAACACTCAACAAGAAAGGGAGCAGATACAGGGCCTTCTATGCTGTATCTGCCATTTTCCTTTCCGTGCTGGCCAAACAGCTGGGAAAATTCTCCCTCCTGAAAGGACTTGCCAAGTGAGGCCACAAGATCCGGCACGGTCCCGCTTTAGTGGCAGGCAGTCTCGCGTCTTCTCAGATCCCTACAGCTACAGGCTTCAGTTGTCAATAAACTCACAGATACTAAACAAACACGTGCGACTGTAAGTTCAGCACTGAAGTTAAAGGCACAAGCCAGTTCTTCCTAAAAATATTCAATGATTTTTAATTAAAAAATAAAGATTGAGGTTTCTTAAAATAGCTTCAATGACAAAAAGGAAAGGGGAATGGACGTGAAAGGGATGTCACGACGTAAACAGTATCACATTTGATGCTCGCCCTGAGTTCACAAGCTCTCCTGGACATGACATTTGGCATGGTTGAATGACTCTCACTGACTTACCACAGTGACCTTTCAGTTTCTTTTGAGACTAGCCCGTATCAATATCCAAAACAGAGTTCTAACTGAACATTAATGCTGTATTTTCTCTCTTCCAAGAATCTGAAGGGAAGATCATTTTAGACATGAAGCACATCTGTTATGAGTATGCATTCTGTTGCAACTGTGCTATTTTCCATCAACTCGTGATGTCAAGTTGAACTGCGGAGCAGTTCGACCAGTCCCACCTGCCAGACTTTGGTATCTTTCTACTGAGCAAACTACAGGACCAGCATTGCATAGTTACCACACATATGAGATCTCTGATGTTTGCAAAAGTTATCCAGAGCATTTAAATTAATGTCACTTTTAAAGGAAGTCAGATTACTTAATGGGATGCTCCTTGAAGTGAAAGCTTATTATCTGCAAAGGAGCCAGTTCCAAAGGAAGTAGCACCTTCACCGAAAGCCGCCGAACAAATGGCCAGACAGAACCAACAGCAGGGGCTTCTATGACGATCTCAAAGGGGGCTAGACCCGGCTCCGTCCTACACAAATGAAATCTGGGTGTCACTTCTTGTGAAAAGGACAACTTCAGGTTTCCTGGGTAAGCTTATATTGCTGAGATGACAATACTTCTGAAACTCTCACTGTGAAATTTAGACAAGTATCAAATGTGAACAGATCTTATCAGAGCCTGTTCCCTGCCATAGGCAAGGTGAGAGAAAAGCCTTTACTAAGAAAGAAAGCATCTAAAACCAATCTGAGCTACGTTTTATCGTTTAAGTGAGCACTTGCCGTAAAGGCACGCCTGGGTTGAATGCCTTCATACACTCTCCCCTGATACTTTAGTTAAAGCCACCATTTGGTAAAGAAATAAAAACATAGTTCTCATCATTTGCACAAACGAGATGGAATCCTAAGAGAATTCGCTGGAAGGAAAGTGTAATTCTTCATTTTTGCAAACTTTAATAGGAAAAAGTTAGAGCAAGACTAATGGAAGCCTGGAGTGATTAGAACTTTTAAAGAATGCCAAGTCTAATTTGGTCCTTCTGAAAAATAGACTGTGAAAAACAAATCCCAAATACCTATCTATGTAAATTAAAGCTCAAGCCATGGTATTCAAAATTAAAATCATTTACATAATCTACTATCCTCTGTGTTTTTAGTAATTAACCTTCCCGGGGCTGATTTTGTTCTCCTTACTGTTTGCTTAACTGAAATGCTTAATAAAATTTCTACAGAATATATTACCCTCTCCATAGATGAATATTATTTTGAACTACAATCTGACAAAAACCTAACTACATTTAATTATGCTTGATTAATCCAAATGTCACTGAGAGATTTATAGAAGAGAGACATTTTTCAGGTTGAGTTCATACTCCTTTCCAGGGCACACGTCCCGGGTGCTCTTTCCATCTGAACTCTCTAGTGTTTTTAATGTCTCAGGAAAAACTCAACAGTCCTCACTTGGCCATGAAACCCCACACATCAAGCTTTATTTTTTTTTTTTCATTTTCAAGGGACTTGGACATCAAAGGCTGATGTCATCACTTTGAACTGGTGGGTACTGAGCCTGTAGTCACCTACACTTAAGGAACAAGTATGCCAAGAACTAAGGTCAGCTCTGCAGTCTGGGTAAAGCTCTGCACAGCAGAGTGCGCATATGGGATACCTGGACTTAAACGCTCAAAGGCTACTGTGAGGTGAGGTGTGCTTTCCTTAAGACAACTCCAGAACTACCAGATGTTCAGAGACTTTCGGTCCTGATGCTCCAAGGTGATTCTGTCGATGGAAAATCAGGCAGTTTAAAGGATCTACCAATGGACACTATTAAACACAACTCCATCGCTTCTCCAATAGTTAAAGCTCTCACTGCTGGGTCACTCAGATCTGTCCCAAGGAGTCAGAGGGGTGGGCATGGAGAACAAGTCCCCACGGTGGCTCTAGCAGTCCCTCTGAGGGAAAGGGAATTTTCTGCCAGGAGGCTGTGGCACACACCAACTGCCAGCCCATGTGCCGGCCACTTTAAACTCTACCATAGAGATAAGTAGACATGTGTCCCTACTTCAGAGACAGAAATAAGCAAGCAGAGGCTTCTCCAGATTTCTGTGCCTGGAATACTGCCTTGATTTTGGCAAGTGGACACACCTGATATCACCGGGTAGCCTTCAGAGGGAAGCCTTCTTAGCCACCCTTCCTCCCACTGAGATGAGTTGAAGTGCTAAACAGAGTCCCCTCCTGACCAGCAGCAATTTTACCTCTAGCCTCATTATCCAGCTACTTCTCAATTTTTGACTAAAACATCACTACATTGATTTAGTGGGTGTATGTGCCACCCAGCATATGTGCGGAGGCTAGGGGACAACTCGCAGCAGCTGGTTCTTTCCTTCTACCATGTGGGACCTGGAGCTTGAACTCAGGTCGTCCTCAGTTCAGCCATCTCACTGGTCCTTAAGTGATCATTTGTGAAACCCTAAAGAGAGCTATCCATCCAAACCCGTGGCGAGTTGTTGCTACAGAGACTCAAACGGCAGCCCTTCTTACTCCATGAGAACTGATTGTGAGAGCTGACCAGAGAGACAATGGCTGGAATGGGCGCTGTCCTCTGCTATCTACCGAAGCTGTACTACAAGGACCTCAGCAGGGACCCCGCAGGGGAGAGTGAAGAGCTAAGCATGGGAGACAGACTCACACTTCAGACTGATAGATTAAAAGGAGAAACGCACTTGGGAAATCAGGAATACTTCTTTCTCTGAAGAATACACCTGTCCTTTATGAAATAGAAGTCTTCCATCTTCCCCACGGTACTTGTATCCCAGTGAACCAGGAGATTACTCTATCTCGTCCTTACTGGAAGGGGAGTTCACTCTGCTTTGATCACTGGCACAGGCCCAGCACTGATGTTTCTAGCATGTGATGGACACAACATATCACTGAAATTGACGACTAAACCTTCTCTCCCTCCCCATGACTCCTGTCTGCTACCTTCACTTCAGTCTCCCTTAGCTGAGGACACCTGGGTTCAATCATCTATTTCCCAGCAGCACGGCCTGAGGCCGACTGACCTCAGGGGAAATGTCTTGCCTCATGCACAGCTCAGTGGATGCTGCAAGGCTATCATTTTTGGTCCTTCATTGTGGTACGGGAGTTCTGAAGGTGATAGTTTGCTGCTGGCTGTCTACTAGAATGTCTGGCTACTGAGGCAAGGAAGTTTCAGTCTTACAAGCATTCCAAACAAGCCCCATGATCTACCTGCAAATACACTTTCAAAACATTATCCCGTGTTCAACAGTAAGCCATTTGTGTGTACTCACAAAGAACAAGAAGAAACCATAACAAAGCCTTCATGCCTTTCCTTACATCCTTCCCCCCTCCCTTTTCCTTCCTCGCCTCTCCTCTCCCACAGGTTCTCACGATGCAACCAGGCTGGCCTTACACTTGTTCCTGCCTTCATCTCCTGCATGCTGGGATTCCAGGGGTACATCATCTACTTTTTAAAATGACTGACTGGAAAGACAGAAAACTGTCACAGTGAAGCTCTCAGAATGGCCAACACACTCGGTGAGGCCAATAGAACAAGCTTATACTTCTCTTGATAGCTCTGATTATGCCCTAGTTTGAAGTATTCTACCATATTTAATTAACAAATTAATCACTGTTGATGGCTGATAACATCTCAAGTTCATTAAAATTTCATATGTCCCCTCTATTTTCCAACCAGAAGGCACTGCTATCTCTAACCAGTGTGACAGGAACTGGAGTTAAAAGTTAGCTTTTCACCCAGAACAGCAAACAAAAATCCTTTATTGATTAAATCATTAATGGTGCTCTCCTGCTGGCCATATTGGTTCCTTCTGTTTCCTAACATATAGATTATGAAGGACATTATCTGTAAAGTCAATGTTTAAGCATCTGGACCACTGACAAAGACGGCAGAATCAATACATGTTTATGTAAGTGTCCTATCCCCCCTGGCCAGCGCACACGTCCAAAAACTGAGCAAAAAATGATCTATGATGAAATTAATAAAGCCACAATCCCACAGCATGGTCTCCAGGACAGTGCCTGAGAGAGTAAGCAAAAGATACACAAATACATTCTGGAAAAAGAATGATTTCAGAAATCCTGAAAAATTTAGACCAAAAGGTTTTGTGCTCAAAGAAATAAGGCATCAAAGAAGAATAAAATAATGAGTTAAGAGAAGCAAATTTAAAAATAAAATATGAAAATGATATACATGAAAGCAAGCCACGAGGCTTACAAAAAACAGTAGAGAAAACAGTGAAATGGAGGAGAGGATTCAAGGATGGAAAAATCACACATGAAGAAAAACAAGAGATAAAAGCCATAAAAAAAATAAATGTGAAAGATGGGTAACACAAAGCTGATAGAGAAACAAATTTCTGAAGAACAGAACAGTGCTCGCTTCGGCAGCACATATACTAAAACTGAAGAACAGAACAGTACAAAATGATACAAAATATAATAAGGCCCAATATGCGACCTAGGCCACTGTGTACCAGGAAAAGGCAACAGACAACTACCAACCCTGAGCTATATTGAAATAAAAGAACAAAATATCAAGGGCAAACATGCAACCGTGCCAAACAAGCAGGCTGCCTACAAACCTGAGAGAAAAATCTATCTGTACTCATGAATCAGTGCGCCAGCAGATAGAGACAATGAAGTTAGTCTCTAAAGAATGTGCTCCAAGGTTCTGAGAGCCTGTCGAGCTATTACTCTAAGTACTGGTAATAGAAAGGCTGGGCAAGAGCATCTAATTGAAGCTGTAATTGAGTCTATCAAAACACAAAACCATCAACTTCCAAATGTAGAATCTTTGTACAAAAAAGGCTGGCAGCAAGCGCTGCTCTCATTCAAATAGAAAAACTCTAGTCATGACCTATATTAGTCTAAAGTTGTCTGTTTTACAAGGCAAAAGCTGCCTAATCCACTTGTCTCCTCTAACTGTGCCAGAATGGAAACACACCAAAGAAACCCTTTCCTGAGTGGAGCTGCCTTGTATTACAGAAAACTGTTGACTTACAGATCAGCCTCGAGGATTAATATGCCCAAGAGATTCCTCTAAGGAGATCATTCTAACCACTTGACATACTGTTCAGAGTACTGGCCTAGGAACAGGAAGCCCCAAGCACTGGCTTTGGTTCTGCTTCTCACTTTCCATGTCTCCTTGGCAGGCCACTTCACTGCTTTGGAATTCACATGAAAACTAAAAGCTACTTAGTCCATCTCCTGGCATTCTAAGGATCACTTGGGGTGCTGAATGTTAAGTTCTTTGGAATCTCTAAGAAAGACTATAAAACCATTGTAGCTAGACAGAAAGAAGCCCTTGTGCTATGAATCCAAAACCAAATATTCAGAGACAAAGAATCAGATGGCTCATGTGGATCCGTGTTTAATCCCTGTAACTCCCCCGCATTTTAAAGCCATCTCTTAGCACTATAAAAAGACATCCAGCACACTGTCACAGTTCTTGACCTGAAATCATTACCAATTTGAAGTTAGGGGATCTAAGAACTTAGGAAGATGTTTCCTCAGCCACCACTGCAAATGTCTATCAGTTTTCCTCTTCTGCTCAACAAAGACATTGAGTACCTACTGTGTGCCAGGTAGAGTTTCAAACAGGATACATGGCTCCCAAATACTTAAAATAAGAGTGTAAATTGGAGGGCATTCCAGAGAAATGGGGAAGAATTCAGCTGCAAGTGGGTCAATATCAATCTGTAATATATAAATTCACAGAGCCAGAGAGGCATGCTTAAGCTCAGAGGGTCAAACACTAGCAGCAGAAAGGATACATCAATGCTCCAGTCGAGGGAAGACCAAACTGTGGGGATACAGGATGCTCCTGAAACTCTTCTTCTGGCTGGCTTAGAGCTGAGGTGAACTCACTGATGACAAGGGGACAGGAGCAGCTGGAGTGCACTAGGCTTAGATGGACACGAGGGGAGTCTAAGAGTGTTAGGGGAGGGCTGTGCATTAAATCCTCAAGACATTTCAACAAAACTGGCATTGCAGAAAAGAGTTTAAGAGAAAATAACACGGCTCTTCTATGCCATAACCAAGCCTGATGTGATATTTGGTGTGTGAGTATGGCAAGCAATAGGCAGCCTGGAACAGTAAAAACAGTGCTGAAGCAAGGCAATCGAGGCCACAATGACACTGTCACCTCCATTCGCCGACAGTCAGACTCGCAAGTGTAAAGGAAGATGGCTGGAAACCGAGACTCAGTAAGATAGAGACATAGAGCTGGTGTTTCTAAGGCAGCCAGGATCTTGAAATATAAAAGACCATTATTTTTAGTCTTTCCTCACAAGAAAATAGTCATACTGCTCAACCCCCCCAAGACACTGACTTAGCTGTGTACAATAAGTCTCTCTTACCCGTCTCTTTGGTATTTACCAACATGCTTTTTGCTCTGTAATGAGGCCTTTATAAAGACAAAAAGGAACTCACCAGAAACTCAGATAATACAAGGAATCGAAAGAAAATCAGATGCTGTGTGCCTCAAAGTTACAACTGAGCCAACTTCATCTAAGTCAGAGCAAATCTCTGAGGCAAAAGCCTTCAGTGTGGTGGCAGTGGGGACAACTACACTGCTACATCAGCAATGATATAGCAGGAGTAACACAAGTCAAAACTTTGAGAGGGACTCTTGGCACATAGCCCAGGCTATGTTCATGATCCTCCTGCCTCAACATCTGGAGTACTGAGGTTTCAGGTATGGACCACCATGCCTGGCTACAAACTAAAACTTCTAAATCTGGATTCAGTACTGAAAAACTGGATAGAAACATTTATATATACAGTAAATGAAAGCAGCAGTCAGAGTGAATGACATATACAAGAAAAAATATAATGAACAGAGAAACACCTAACAGGGACCTGCATAAACTAGGTACCAGTTTGAATCTAGATTCTCAGATGGCCTTATTACTAAGAACAAATATCACATCATTTGTCTTTCCTTACCACAGGTCCTCTGCTAATTCCTACTTCTAACTTTTAGCAAAAGGAATGATTACAAAATCAGATTGAAGACCAGGCGGTAGTGGCACAAGCCTTTTAGTCCCAGCACTCGGGAGGCAGAGACAGGCAGACCTTTGTGAGTTTGAGGCCAGTCTGGTCTACATAGTGAGTTTCAGGACAGTCAGAGCTGTTACACAGAGAAACAAAAATCAGACTGAATGGACAGTTCTAAAATTGGCAAAAAGTAATGACAATGAAAATGATCCACTCTATAACATTTTTCAAAATAAGCTAGAATAAGCTGACAGTCTGTGTTATGGTGAGGCGAGTGCATCCCGAAGGCGCTTCTAGTTCCTAAGAGGACTACGAGAGGAATTTCATATGGCAAAGAAACAGGACTAGGGCAGGGGAGTTTTCAGAGAAACACACAACTACACTTCCCACTCTTTACAGTCTAACGTTGACTAGATGGTAGGTTTGCATAAAATTTCATAAAATCTTTCAAACCAAGGTGTTAAGTGAGAAATTCCAAAACAACTTTTAGAGTACTTTAATAAATGGAAGAGAAGTATGCAAACGAACTTTAAAGTGAAAATAATACAGATGAATTGGTTTTAATCCGAAAGTACCACACCTCACGATGACAATACAGTCAGATGGAAGTCGGCAGAACACTGATTCAGAGAGTGAAGGGTGTGCATATATGGGACAGGAAGAACCCTGGGGTTGAATTTGCAAGATGTACTCTACTGACACCTTCCCCTTCCAGACTCCCCAAGCTGGAGATCATGAAGTCAACAGTAGGATCTGCTGTACCTGGAAAGAGGAAGGTGCTCAGAATCTCGGGAAGACTTAGACACTAAACCCATGATAAGATACAGAGTATAGAGTACAAGAGTGCTAAGGAGGCTCCGTGCTCTACTGTGACGGAGGCAAGTGATGCCATAGAAAGACACCATGACAAACTGCTCAGGTTACAACTTTAGTGGAAGATGCGAGTGGATTAACTAGAGGAAGTGCTCCATGGAAACACTGAGTCAATATAAAGGAAGCAACATAACAAAGCATTGGGAATAACAATAGTGCCATGATTAAGAGTTGGTAGAGTAAGGGTGTCTGGTTAACTTGCAGAAGATAATATTTCTTCAGAGATGACCACAGCACTCGGTTTTCTACAAAGTTCTATTAGTCTTGATCTTGTCCCTATGAAGAAAAGAATCCATAGAGAGCTCGTGAGTACAACCTCCTCTATTTTAACAAAAACTTACTCAGAACATTTATAGTGATAATTCCAAAACCTTTGTCCTAACTCAGAATTATTTTCTATAGTTACTATAGAAAAAGTGGCATTTCATTACTTACATAAACTTTGCAACAGTTCTTTACTCACGACTGAAAGTCTGATCAGAAGCTGGGCATGGAGGCACTGCCTTTAATCCCAGGAATCAGAAGGCAGAGGCAGGTAGATCTCTGTGAGTAGGAGGGGCAGCCTGGTCCAAATAGTGAGCTCCACAACAGCCAGGGAGCTCACTATAGAGAGACCCTGTCCCAGAAAACAAAACAAACAAAACCAAAATAAAGCAACAAACAATTTGATTAGAACTATAAAATGACTGCTGCTAATGCATGTGAGGTTTCTTCTTGGCCTGAGGGAGCCTGATTTTAGAACAGTGGTGAAGGCTGTCAATTTTGAATCTACCCCAAACAACTGAACCGTACATGTCAAAAGAGCAAACTGTACGGTATGCGAACTGTACCTCAATAAAACTGCTAGGGTTAGGGTTAGGGCTAGAGTCCTCAGGGTTAGGGGTTAGAGTTAGGGTTACTCGGGGTTAGAATACAGTCTTAGACCTCTTTCTGTGTAAGAACTGACTTTCCCATTCCCACTCCTCTGCTGAGATCCTTCCCCACGTTTAACCATTATTCTATTTGTAGAACTTAACCATGTTTGTTTTGTTTTTTGTTTTCGAGACAGGGTTTCTCTGAAGTTTTGGTTCCTGTCCTGGAACTAGCTCTTGTAGATCAGGCTGGCCTTGAACTGCCTCTGCCTCCCTAGTGCTGGGATTAAAGGTGTGAGCCACTACCACCTGGAGAATTTAACAATTTTAAATTGCCAAGTTAACTACGTTAGTATTTCAGTTTTGCTAAAATTTGTTTGAAAACAACGTTGGAGATTAGGTCTGATCCTTAATTAGCATATAATGTTATTTACTGTGGGTCTCTATATGTAACTCTACCTGGCCTGGAATTTGCTATGTAGACCAAGCTGGCCTCAAAGTCACAGAGATCCTCCTGCCTCTGCCTCTCGTGCTGGGATTAAAGGCATGCGCCACTGGGCCCAGCTAAAGTATGGCCTTGAAAAGAGAGTTCAGTCAAAACTACCATTTCTCACTGCAAATGACTCTTATGAAAGATGGCTCTGGTACTACCCAAATTACTCCACATTTGAATTACCTGGCCACACTGATGCCCAACAAAGTATTTGGCTTACATAGACTGAAAATGGGATGGTTGGCACTAAACTGATCTGCTAGACCAAGAGACACAATCACAATGTAGCTGGTCAGAACACAACTCTTCCCTGGGAAAAACCACCCTCGGTGGGGGCAGCGGGACTAACTTCCTGCTACTATCATATGATGGATGATGAAAGACTTAATCCTTTTTAAATTTCCTGTTTTGAGATGAGCTGCAGGAAAGATTAGAGAGCAGCACAGATGTGTTTCAGCCTTTACACTACTCATTAGAAAACACCAGCATAGCTCTTCACAGTTGATGGCTTCTGGTGGGGCTGGGGGATAAAAGAACTCATCTTTAATGGGCTGGCCACTGGAGTTCGGCCATGCTCCAATGACTATAGGGGCAACACAAACTGGACTTGGTGTATTTTTTTCTTTTAAAGGTGGAGGGTGAACCTGGGAAGAATGGGATGTCAATGTGATCAAGGTACACAGTGTGAAATGCACAAATGATCAATAGGGTATTTAGTATGTTGGGGAAAAGTAAAGAAAAAAATACCAGCATTTACTATATGGTACAATATTGCAAATTTGCAATATTGCAAAGCTATATAAATTATATTTGCTCACAAATGTTTCTGTTAAAGATGTTAACAATCAAGGTTTGTATGGTAAGAAGTATATATAAAAAAACACATTAGGGAGAAATAATCAATGTTAAAAGAGAATGAAACTATCAATAAGAACTTACATATATGTGTGTGTGTTGAGAACCTCCGTCCAGAAAAAATGGCTTAGAAGAGGTGTAATGAGCACCCTATCCTTCAAGATTAGGCTTCAATATCTGTTCAAAAGAACTATAAAATGGTTGATTCCAGGACAGGGGCAGAGAGGGTAGAAGTTGAGATTTTAGGATATCGCGTTAGACAAGAAAGTAGGACAATGTTCAAAAATTAATGCACTTTAGTCAACAGAAGACAAAAAAATCAAGCTCAGAATAACTGCCATTATTCAAAAGTGTGCCAACTTAAGCAGCAGAAATGACAATGACTGTGACATGCAACATCATGGAGAGATTTCACAGGAGCAAAGATGACAAAGGTGTATGCTTACATGTTTCTTTTGTTTTATGTTTAAAAAATGCACCCTCAGTGATGGTCAGAAAGCATCTTCTATGGTAAAGAGAGAATAGTCTGGCTAGAAAGGAGTCTTCCAGGGTGTTGGAAAGGGAGATGTAAATCTGTGTCAAGCCATAGACTTCAGATTTGTAGACTTTCCTACTATATGTCATATGTCAATAAAAATAAGTGCTGGGTATAATATATAAAACAACAAAACACTATTAATCTACAATGCTAAAAAAGACAAGGCAAAAGCTGGGCAGTAGTGGCACACACCTTTAATACCAGTATTCACAAGGCAGAGGCAGGAGGATCTTAGAGTTCAAGGCCAGCCTGGTCTACTAAGTAAGTTCCAGGACAGCCAGGGATAAATAGAGAAATACTGTCTTTAAAAAAAAAAAAAAAGACAAAAAAACCCAAAAAACAAAACCAAAAGACAGACCAAAAAACTCTTCGTGTCTCAACCTTCAAGACAGTGGTTCTCAACCTGTGGGTTGCAATTCATGGGTGGCAAAGCAGCCTTTCATAGAAGTCACATAGCAGATGTTCTGCATATTAGATATTTGCATCACAATTCACAACAATAGCAAAATTAGTTAGGAAGTAGCAATGAAAACAATTGTGTGGTTGGGGTCATACACCATGAGGAACTGTATTAAAGGGTCCCAGCATTAGGAAGGCTGAGAAGCACTGCTTTAGGATGACTTAATTCAACTGCTTACTTTAAAAAGAGGTAAAAGAGAACTGAATTTTCCCTTTAAGTTTAAAGGAAAAAGTTCAACACATACTAGAAGAACTGTATTTCATGGTATGGCCTTTGTTATTGAGAATGAGCTGTACTCTACAGAGGAACATTAGTCAATAGTTACCAAAGAATGATTTTTTAAGACTATATCATTTTACAAAAACTAATAAAATATTGAGTTAGGAAAATTCAACTTCTTTCCTTCCTTTCCAATTTGGGGGTCTTTTATTTATTTCCTTGCCTAAATCCTCTGGATAGGATTTCTATACTGTAAGCGTGGGTGTTCTTATCAGGCCCAAATGGTTAACTAGGATAAAAACCATTAGATAAATGGCTGATGGGTAAGTATTCTTTTGCAATATACCTCCTTCCAAAAACAAACAGCACCACAACAAAAAGACCCCATATGGATTATGTTCTAGTGGGGAAAAAAGCTGAATTATATTACAGGGCAGTGGTTCTCAACCTATGGATTGCGACCCCTTTGAAAAACTTCTACCTTCAAAAAATATTAACATTACGACTCATAACAGTAGCAAAATTACTGCTATAGAATAGCAACAAAAATAATTTTATGTTTGGGGGTCACCACAATGTGAAGAGCCATATTAAAGGGTCACAGCATTAGGAAGGTCGAGCACCAACCACTTCCATAGATAGATCCGATAGCCATCACCTAAATTATGATGGACCCTTAGCATCACTGATAATGGATCAACTGGAAATCATGCGTGTAAACATAAATTCTGTAACAGTACTGATGGAGTATCCCAGAAGGAAAAAACAAAAAAGAACCTTTATAACAACTTTGATTTCCATCAAATATGGGAATAAGGAACAAATTAAATGATACCGCAGAGAAGAACTAAACACATCAAGGTAAGGATGTTTTGCTAACCTGGTCTTTCATCAATAGTACTTTCTAGATTAAAAACAACTAGAAAATATCCAGATATGTCATGTAGTTCTGGAATGGATCCCAGTTTGGAAAATTCAGGAAATTTCTAATGAGATGAAAGCTACTGACATGGAAAAGTAGACATAGTTAAATGAAACAAATGCATATTGCCCAACAGTATGAAAAATGATCTCACTTGGAGAAAATACATACATATACAAATAGAAGATTATCTAAAATAATATAAACAAAATTGTACCCATAGCAATGTCTGAGTTGTGGAAATGCAATGATTTTCTTTTCTTTTTTCATTTAATATTTCCTAGATTTTTTGTTGTTTTGTTTTTTATAACACACAATTTAATAAAAGAATATTTTAAATTGAAAAATTGGAAACCAAAGACTAGATTGTTTTATAAACATAAACTAGCAACAGTTTATTAACATAAAGCAATGACAGCTGCTGTATGAGCAACAACTTTTCAGTTTTGATCATTTACAGTGTTAAACTACACATGATATAGAATGAGCTGCCAGCTACTTTTGAGTGAACAGCTAGTTGCTTGGGCATATTCACACTATTGCACAACCATCACCAATCCCTACGCCGAGTGCTGTTCACCATCACACACAGAAAATCTGTACTCAGTAACAATTCCTCATTCCACTTCCCCGAAGTCCTGGCGTCCACTCTTCTACCTTCTGACTCTCTGAAATGACTACTCTAGGCATCTCATAAAAGTGGAATAGTACTATTTATGCTTTTGAGTATGGCCTGTTGCACAGCAAGTAATGACTTTAAAATTCATCTATGTTAGGCCGGACGGTGGTGGCGCACGCCTTTAATCCCAGCACTCCGGAGGCAGAGGCAGGTGGATCTCTGTGAGTTCGAGACCAGCCTGGTCTACAAGAGCTAGTTCCAGGACAGGCTCCAAAACCACAGAGAAACCCTGTCTCGAAAAACCAAAAAAAAAAAAATTCATCTATGTTGAAGCATGCATCAGAATTCCCTTCTTTTCAAGGACGAAATAATGCTTCAGTGTGTGGATAGAGTCCATTTTGATTCATTTCAGCTTCATTTTTTTTTTCAGTTTAACCCACAAAAATTCTGTAAACATCTTTCTGTCAATTTATAAGACTCACAACAAACTGAAAAGTTAATTGTTTGAAAACAACATTGGCAGTAGAATAAGCCCCTGCTCACTGTCAATACCTTCAAAGTGCAAGGATTCCCTGGCTGGTGGGAATTTCCATTTAAATGATGACTCTAGCTACCCAATTCTTGTTTGTTCTCCTCAGCATAAAAGTTTTTCTCCAATCTTTTTTCTCTAAGGATCGCTTTGCTTTTCCAGTGATAAAACTACACAGAATGTACGGCATAAAATATTGTTCAATTGTCTGCTTGGTACTTTCTGGAGACAAATCAGATACTTTCTAATGGGAACCAAAGTGGTTTCTTACTGTTTCACTTTGTATTTTGATGCATCCCTTGGTTCACTGCTGGGATTGCTCCAGTCATCAGCTTCAGGAGTAGTCTTGTAATGGCGCCACGCAGACTTGTTGAAAACTGGTAGTCTCTCAAAGGATTCACTTGAAAGGGCCTATTAGAAAAAGGACATACACCAAAGGTCTAGGATACTCTTTTTCTCACATAAAATTCACAGATTTTACTCTTTCAAACACAAGTAACCATTCTTATTTTAGAAATATTAAAATTTATTTTACAGATGTACTTAGAGTGGCTAGGAGGAAGATCCTGAGCCCTCTCTAAATGAGTGAAATCAAGTGCTCACTCACTCGCTCAAAATCAGTACTGAAACACATACGACAGGAACAAAGTACATTGTAATTCCGTCAATACTGCTTTGCGATACTCCATAGCACTGACAGTACAGCTTAGATCAAACATTTTTATTTAATAGGCAACTGCTGCCCTAAAACAGTCCCAGAAGAAATAAAGTCTCATAAACATTTGCCAACAAGCGATATTAAACATCACAGCTCCTCTATCAGATTTTTATTTGTTTTACTTCTGTGATAATGGAATGAAACCCAGAGCCTGTATATTCTAGGAAGAATCTACACCACTGAGCTACATCCCCTGTCCCTAAAAATCCAAAATCAACTCTAGGAGGATTCGTAAGAAACAAAAACACAGTACCTCTTGAAGAAAAGTAGTGTGGCTTGTACCAGCAGTGAAACACTTCATTGCCCTCTTTGAAGCTTTTAAATGTTACTATATGCCTCTACTGCCTATTGAAATAATATACCAAAATTCTAGAATTCAGAAATAGAAGTCTAATGCCACCAATAAATGAGAAAAACTGTCTTATAGAGAACTCAGTTCATAGATAAACATTTTAAATGACCATTATTATGATTTTGTTAATTTAAAAAAACAATGTACAATGTAAAAGTTCCATTTCTGTACGTAATTTGTTTTTTCTGAGTCTCTTGCCATCTCCCTTTTCTCTTCCAGCTCTAGGAGTTTTCTGCTCTCATGTGCTGTTCTACTATCCTCCCAGCCATCCTCAAAATCTCTCTTCTCTCATGGACCTCTTTATAGTTTCGTGACCATACTGATGCTCATTTCCACATATGTACATATACTCACATATACACAACATAAAAGCTAAGACCTGCATGATAGCATGCATTCACTATTTGTGTTTCTCAGTTACTTCGCTTGATATAAAGATCTACAGATCTTTTTATATAAACATATTATCATTACTGAATTCTTTTATTTTGGTTTTGTGAAACAGGGCTCCACTATGAAGCCCTGGCCATCCTGGAACTTGTTCTGCAGACAAGGATGGCCTTGAACTCAGGAGATCTGTCTGCTTTATCTCTGCCTCCCCTGTGTTAGGATTAAAGGCATGCTCCACTACCACCCGGCTTCATTACTGGATTCTTACAACTTGAGAAATTAAAGCAAAAGACTAGAAGACCAGATTACTGGAAATTGGCTTTCTTTTAAACTAGTTTTTTCAATGAACATATACTTTTGAAAAATTCTAATTTAGATCTATGGTTGTAAAAAAATCAAAAAATTTGAGGTTTATACCTCTATGATTCTTATTTTGTTATATTTGGGCATAATATCAGCATGAGGCATAGCATGGTTTCCTAGATCTGATTTCAAGGTAAGAGACGATACAGTGCTCTTCTCAACTAGTTATGGGTACTTGTACCTTTAAAAAGTCACTAACAGAAACAAAACATAGTACCTTCAGATAAATGACGGCATCAGTACCCACTCCTTCCATGGAATACAGTTTTAGATCTCCCTGAAAATATCTGGCATACAGACGAGAAATTGGCAAGCCGTAACCAAATCCAGCCTATTAAGAAAAGAAAATTAATAGAATGAGACTGGTACAAATGTTTCACAGGGGACCATTTACAGAAGATTAAAATGAATCCCTCAAGTCAAATCAAATGAATTAGTAACTCCATCTTTATAAATAACACTGTGTCTATAATCTGTGACCAATAAATTCCCCATTTTATTAAAAAAATTGTTAAGTCTGGGTGACAGAAAAAAATCATTTTTGATTGTTTTTTATAAAGCATTTTAAAGTAAATTTTAACCTATGTCTGAGCATAAAGTCAAGGTAACTTTTTTTGAAATAGGGTTTCATATATCCTAGCCTGGCTTTCAACTCATTATATATCTGAGGTTGACCTTGAGCTCCTGTTCCTCTTACCTCTAACTCCTACCTACTAGGATTTTAGGCCATGAACCACCATGCCTGGTTTCTGCAGTGCTGGGGATGGAAGCCAGAGTTCCATGCATGCTAGGCAAGGACTCCACCAACTGAACAACCCTGAGCTCCAAGGGTTACTTTAAAAAAGTGTACACTTACATCCACAGGTAAGTGTAGCTCTCACCTCTCAACAAAGGAGCTTCTGTTTGCAGGAGACAGACACCATTATGGAAAGCTACAACTGGTAAAAATGCTGAGAGCTACTGACCATAGGGTGCTTGTCCAACATGATAAGCCTACAACACAATTCCTATCCTTAGGGCTCAGGGAGCATCTTGGAAAGGTGGCCAGAGGATTGTTAAGATGATCAATAATGCCTTCTTTAAAAAAAGATACAGGTGCGAAGTGGAGGGAGTAGGGATAGGAGGGGTGCGGAGTGAATGTGATAAAAATACAAAATTCTTAAATAAAAAGTGAATGCCCAATCAAGTAGAAATTGTTCTGATGAAAACGCAAAACCACATTTACTTCCAAGTTTCTTTATCAGACTTCTTCACAAGAGTTGAATTTTTTCTTTCCTTTTTTGTGGTTTTTCAAGACAGAGTCTCTCTTTATAGCCCTGGCTGTCCTGGAACTCGCTCTGTACCCTGGGCTGGTCTCAAACTCCTGCCTCTGCCACCCAGAATGCTGGGATTAAAAGCATTCACTTCCAATGCCTGACAAGAGTTGAAATTTGCTAATAACAAGACTAAGCCACTGAAAAAATTCCTTAGAGGTTCTTCTTAAGGATATGGAAAAGCTACAGCATGTTAATACAGTGAATGAGTTTTTCAGAAATAAAAAATTTAGTACCTTCCTATATTTTAAAGTCATCAAACTGACAGTCAATATATTTTTTAAACTAAAGGTCACAAATGTTGGCAAGAATAAGAACAATACTAAAGTCAGTGACTTTGTAGTCGGCCACAGGTAGGTATGGGGAGATGCTATTAGCACTGGATTAAATCTGGATCAGGAACAGCGCCTTAAGGAAATAGGGCTAGGCTCACACAGGCTTCTGACTCTGACAGATCTAAGTTGAATTCTCTGTTTCTGTGTGACTGAGCAGTTCATTCAACTTCTTTAAGACTTTTTTCACCTGAGATGAAAAGCTTGCCTCCGAGCTCATAAGGGTTCCATGGCATGATAAAGGCTACCTCTCTGTACTATCTATCACACAGTAAAACTCAGTTCTGCTGACAAACCTGAGGACCTGAGTTCAACACCTGGGATCCACATAAAGATAGAAGCAGTGAATTGACTCCACAGAGTTGTCCTCTGACCTCCAGAAATATCAAAGAATTAACAGGCAGAGTAGATACTCCCAAAACGGGAAATTTTCGACATGTGGGGGATCACGCTGTGCCATGGTCTAAATTGTTTCATGCTGTGCCAAACAGCTTTCAGGCTGTGCCTTGTCAGGGACAAATTTGCTTCCCAAAGTATCATTTGGCTCCATTGCATAAATAGAGGCAGGACGGTTCAATACTTTACAGTATACAGAGACATCGCCCGCCCAGCATTATCAATAGGACACAGACTAGTAACATTTCTAGTAATAAAAGGTACCACCTATAAATTTATCTAAATAAACAGGGAACCTATGAATACATTGGTGTTATTAAAATCATTTCAGTCCTGGGGCTGGAGCTCAGTGCGTAGAGTGCCAGCCTAGCACACCAAAGCACCTCCTAAATAAGGTGGCACACAGGTCTGTCCTCCAAGCAGAAAGATCAAGAGTTCAGGGTCATCCTAGCTTCAGCTAGCTCTCAGCCCACCTGGATGACATCAGACTCTGTTCTTGTGCTGGTAAGACACAGTGGGTCAGAGCACTTGCAGTGCAACCCTGACAACCTGAGTTCAAACCTTGGAATCAGCAAATAGCTAAGGGGAGAGAATTCAACTCAATTAAACTGTGCCTTCCACACACACATACAACAGATAAAATTTGAAAAGTCTGTATTTAGGGCTCCAGAGATAGCAGTTATGTGCACTTGCTGCTCTTGCAGAAGACCCTTCCCACCACTCACGTGGTTGATCACAACCATCCATAACTTCAGTTCCAGAGGATGTGATGCTCTCTGGTACTAGGCATGCATGAGGTACACATACATACAAATATGCAGGCAAACACTTATACATGAAAACAGTTTAAAATCTGTTCAATTAAAAAATGTATGAAGGAAGATACAGATGGGTAAAAGTAAGCCATCTGGAAAGGAAATTCTTTTCTAGTACAACACAGCCATGTGCCCACTTCAGAGGTGAGGACAGTTTATTAACTGGGAGAGATGCTGATGGAAGCATTTCTTCAAGAGCAGCCACAACAGTATGCGAGAAGTCCACAGGCAGCCAGTACCAGCTCTAGCATTAATTTGCTTTGATCCTTTCACACATTTATGTAATGGGAAGGTGGATTGGATAAATAATGGTCTCTGAGAGTCCTCTGTTTCCCAGAACAAACAAACAAATATGGCATAAAGCTATCTACAGAACGCTATTTTAAAAACTGGAATAGATAATCCATATTATTTTTAAACAACTGGCAAAAATGCAAAATTTGTACCAGACCCTGGTCAAGGTAATACTACTTCAAATTGATCTTTTATGAATTTTCTTGAATTCTGTATAAATGACTTCCTCAGTTTTCCACATGCTGAGTTAACAAACTCTGCCTCAAATAACAATGCAAAGTGTTTGATTTTATTCATACAAATAAAATATAATCTTATGTGCTTATCACTCAGGTAGGACTTTAAAATGAAACTTAATTTATACCCTGAGCCATTCTGCAGACTGATAGATACATTGCTGTGTTTAATGACAAAGGGTTCAATTGTTGTTTGTCAATTAGAAACACTCAGCAGGGGAAGAAAGTGTGGCCCTACCAGGAATAAATGCTACCATGGTAACCAGAAGCTTTTCTCACTGAGTGAATAAGGCTGAAGGTTATTTCTAGAGTGCTACACAGAGACCTCTGAAAATACATACATCACCTATAAGTTTTATGCTTAGATTATGAAAATTTAATGTTATATAAATATTTTAATTATATAAACAAATTTGACAGTGGTGACCCAAAGACTCTGGATGACTTGGGCCTGTAAGGTCTGCAGCAGTAAAGCATCGTCTACTAAACTGTAGCCAAACACTCTCCCCAGTCGTCTCCGCTCACCCATGGGTAATGGCCACCTCCCCGAGGGTGGTGCATGATAACAAGTTGCCCTCCTGCAGCAATCTTATCACAGGGAAAAGCTTTTACACACTGTATTTGGAAGTGTAACACTCAGCTTGGAGTATTTCTTTTTTTTTTTTTTTTTAACATACAAGCCTACAGGCCAGAAGGGAGCACCAGATCTCATTGTGGGTGGTTGTAAGCTACCATCTAGTTGCTAGGAATTGAACTCAGGACCTTTAGGAAAGGAAGCAGTGCTCTTAACCACTGGGCCATCTCTCCAGCCTGGAGTGTTTCTTAGAAAAATTAGAAAAGCACTTTGTCCAAAGAACTTACAAACTAAACAGTAAGGCAAAAAGGTGCCTCTGCTCCCACCTATACCAGAAACAGCCCCATTTAAGTAAAGCTAGTACAACCACCTAAGAAGATGGGAAACTCTCTATCCCTGTGTTAAAGACCTTTCTTTCTCCAGCAGTTTGTCATGCTTACCAAGGGAGCAGCTCTTGTAGGCTCCAGGCTGGGTCGAGGGGCAGTTGAATACATGTAGTTAAAAAGACGGTCTATTTTCCGAAGTGGGACTCCACCACCTAGGTCACTTATCTGCAGTGCACAAAGTGTTAAAAATAAAAGGGGAGTCAAATCTGTGCTTAAGGAGGGGAGGAGAGTTCATTAAATAAAGCACATGCTAGAAGGTTCTAAAGTGAGAAAGTGGCTCCTTTGGGGACAGTGTAAACAAAGGAGAGAGCAACGCAGCAAATCTGATAGGCTTGGGACTGAGGTCCTGCTCAAGTACAGTCAGAAAGGTAACCAAAGCCAAGAATCCAGCACTAAATAGTCACATTTCCATAAATGACAGGGACACACTGAGAAATGTACCATTAGTCAATGCCATCAGGCAATTATCTTCGGAGGCTTATACAGAATGACTACAAAGTCACTAAACAACAGCAACTTATGGGACTACCACTATGTATGTGTTCAGTTCATTGCTAAGAAAGCACTGATACATGACTTTACCCACAAATAGCACGCCCAAGAAATGTCAATTTTCTTTCCTTCCCTCTCATAATATTAAATACATACTATTAAATCAACTGATGATTAAAGTAAAATGGAAACAAAAGCTTACCTTAATGGACAAGTCTTCTTTACCCAGAGTGACGAGAGTTTTAACAGCTGGATAGCCCTCTTTTCTATTTTCATGTAGCTCAACTGTTGCTCTCATTGAGTTCTGAAACAATAAGCTCTTCTTGAGAAACCATGCTTCTGACTCACGAAGCACAATTAAGTTAAATGTATTCATTACTTTTGGTGCTGAGTAGAACCCGGAGCCATGCACATTAAGCATGTGCTCCACCACTGAGCTAGCCCTAGTCATGAAAAAACCACAATTTCAAAACAGAAATAAGCACACGGTTACTTGTATGTGATGATTATTTTGTGGAGCTATTATTAATAAGATTTACATGAATTTTTTTCTATCAGAAAATTTTCCTGATGTTCCATTTTGCACTTAATTGTTAAACATTCTTCTTGCCTTCTGCTGGGCTCTACAGATTTTTTGGGGGAGGGGAGTGGCTGAGACCAGATCTGACTATGTAGACTAGCCTGGCCTTGAACTCAGAGAGATGCACTTGTCTTCATCTGTCCAGTAATGGAATTAAAGGCACATGCTTCCAAGCCTGGTGGCTTTAGGGTTTTAAAATTATTCAGTTCAACCACAAAGAATGTTTGTATGACTGACATGTACTGAGGCTGCACTTGGAGCCCTACTTATCACTTAGAAAGTGAAGAGAGCCATACTTCCCACAAAAATTAACCACTGGATTGAAAAAAAAGGATAAAATATCCATTAAAAAGAAAGTCTGAAAGGTCACAAATGAAGAGAGCGCTCCCAATCGAATGGCTACATTAGTGACACACCAGAAGCAGTCTTGCTCTTGGGAAGACAACAGCACAACTGATCCTTTAGGTGTTCAGTTTAGTGTTTTATCCATTAAAAGTGATGAAATGCTAGCTCAAATATCCTGTACACATAACACTGCTACCACAAATATCACTGGATACTTTGTAACCAAAAGCAACAGCATGGGCCATAGAGTCTAAAAAATAAAAAAGGTTTTCTTTCCTTTTTAGCCCAGGCTCCACACTCTTCCTCTCCTGCCTCTATCAGGTCTTCTGAACTTATTCAAATTATAAAACAGTTACAGGATCTCTCAGAACTGAAACAACTATTCATTAACACAGTTAATGCTTCAGAAGCATAGATATATAGAAATGTGTGTTTATTTGGGTATGGTAATAAACAATAAAACCTTTGCCAGACCTGAAAACCCAAAAAGCATTTCTAATCTCCTAACTGAAAGAAAAACAGTATGGATTTGATGTGAAGTAACCAAAGTGCAATTAAGCTTCAAAATCGCTATGTACTAGTATTCACAAAACCATACTGTACACAGCAATTTTTATCTCACAGTTTACAGATTAGAAAGCCCACAGGATATCAGAAATAGACTTTTAAAATGGTTATGCAAAATCTTTTTCTTATGCTAATCTAATGAATCCATTATGCCCAGAATCAAAGCCATTTAAAATGAAGACTTCTTCCCATGCTTTAAAACCCCACTTACCTTGAACAGCTCAAACAGCATGTGAAACAGATGTGAGGGCACATAAACTACCTGAATGGGTTTGTTTGGTGCTTTGGCTGAAACAGAGACAAACCACCGATGAATAAAGACCCAAGGTGGGAGAAAATAAAAAATGATGCTTACATTCTATTTTTTCAAGTTCATAAAACAAACCTTCATTAAAAAGAGTTCCATATTTAGTGACATAACTGAGCAAAAACATGCTTCAGAATAAAGCAAGCACACAGTCAACTTCATTCACTGAGGCTTAGTGACCTTGAGCAAATCAGTCAAATTCTTTCCAACTTTGTTCAGCAAAACGGGAATAGTATCATTTGTGTCATGGTATTCTGAAGATTACACATGAACATACAAATATTACTTGAAATTTTTCAAATTGGGGGAAAAGTCCGCCATCAATTCCAGGAGGCATCTGTAAGAATATGAAGCAACTGAGAAGGGTGGGAAACGAGACTCAGCTGCAGTACCATGCTTTCAATCTCGGCTGTTCACTCAAAGACTCAGAGAAAGGCTTGACTAGCTGCCAGATGACAGGCTTTAGGAAAGTGAATGAATTTGTCAAGAAGGCTCTGACGCAATGAATGCTTGCTTAATCCACTGATAGATTCGTAATTTAATGACAGTACTGGAAGAGGGTGGAAAACAGGAGGTGGGACCTAGTTAGAAGTAGGTTCCTGGGGCATGCCCTGATAACCCTGCCTCAGTTGAAGGTTTACCTAGACATAGAATTTGGGGTTTAAAATAATTCTTTCTCAGAATTTGGTAAAGAGGGACATATTCTGGCAGTAAAAGTACATCAGAGAAACTCAACACTGGTTAGGTATTGTTCACACTATTGGCTTTTGCCAAAGTCTGACATACCATGGTTGGGATTTTGTTTAGTTAAACTGAATTCATCACTTGAGGTAGCTAGTGGTTCTTTCCCTTTGGAGATCGTCCATACTAAGAAGTCTTTTTGGAGTTTTTAAAACCTGATCAAGATTTCACTGGTTTTAGAATACGCTGTTAGTAAGGTATCCTACGACCAGAGAGGCCGTCAAATGCTAAAATGAACGCTTTACTTTGGAGCGCTATTATTCACATAACCTGACCTATAAGTTGTTCCTGAACAACATGCACTCATTTTGCTGTTGGTGGCAGAACCTAGATGGAGTAAGCTATTTCTGTTCTAGTTGTTTGCATCACTCAGCTCTGCTCCCACAGTCCCTCTTCCGTGTAACTGGAAAAACTGGTTGCCATCTGGGCGGCAGCCTACTCCTTTCTGGTTGGTCCTGCCCTGTCCTATCAGCCAGCATGCTTTTAGCCAGCTGGATTCTCCCAGGAGTTAGCACTATGGGTTTCCAGAACTCGGTGTCTATATCTCTCTCCATTCACAAATGAAAACTTAGTTCCTAAAGTGATGGTACTTAGAGGTGGGCCCTTTGGGAGTTGACTATTCATGAGTGGAACCTCACAAATGAGATTACTGCTCTTCCAAAAAAGACCCCAGGGAGCTCTTTGCCCCTTCCTACATGTAAAGGCACAGCAAGAAATCACCCGCAAGTCAAAAATAGGCCTTTGCCATATACCATAAGTGTTTGCACTACAATCTTGTACTTCCCAGGTTCTAGACACATGAGAAACAAATGTGTTTGTTATTTAATCCGCCCAGTCTCTGATGGTTTTGTTGAGTAGTCTGAAGGGACTAATACAGAGGTCCACTTATAAGCCTCCTTGGCTTCTTTTACTGTTTTTATGAGATTCTTTTATTGTGGCTGTAATGGGGCCTGAGAAGCAAGCTGAGTGCTTAGTCTATCTTGTGGCAACTGCGTCATTAGTCATATAAACAGCCTCAGAATTCAATTCAACCTTTTCAGTCCAAGTCTCAAGGAAATGAAAAACATTTTACAGTTTGTTTTCTTCTTTTAAGTTTAAACAACATTCTTTAGGAGTCAACTAAAGGCTTGCTCAATTATGTGTACTTTTCTTTGGAAATATTACAGTTGACATTTCTTTTCTCCCTTTTAAAACCATGTTAAATGTTTTGGCTATGAGTCTTCCCTTATCCTGGGCCTCACGGCCTTAGTGGGTGGTAATAGAGGTCTGTCGGCTTTCTAAAATAAGATGAACGGAATATGAATACTCCCTCTAATAGTACACTTTTAAAAGTCACAGAAAAATGTGGTCTGAGGTTTTTATGTTTGAGTCTCAAGAAATAATAAAGTCTGTTTTGCAGTCGTTGCCTGAAACACCAGTAGTTGAAGCAGCACTTAATAAATGTCAACAGAACTCTATATGGACATCAGGAATTTTCCTTTGAGACAGCTTTCCTGTAAGAATGAAAAGTGGGAACTGGAGGCTAAGTAGAGAAAAATGAGTATAAAAGGAGAGGTGGCAGCACAAGATTCAGCCCCAAAGTGAACGGAAAAGGCTTCTGAAGACAAGCCATGCTGCACACTCCTACCCAAAACTGACTTACAGGAATATCCCATATGACTGCAGGGATAGGAACCATACTGAATGGACATGAGGATGGAAACACACACCATTTTAGGATCTCTTGGAAAAAAAGCTCGTATAAGATCAGCATTTAAGTCACCTTCTTTGTACTTAACATTAAAATACTTTTCTTCTCTGTGCCGTACCACCCTGACCCCGTCTGATCGCATCTAAAATGTTTTGTCTTTTACCATTGAATTCTTCTACTTCCAGCTCTGGAGCAACCAGGTAATACTGTTCACAGAGCAGCTTTGCTGTTTCATACGCATCTGTAAGAAAGAGAAATTTAATTGTTGAATTCCATAGATATAAGTATGTGGGTGTATATACAGAAATAAAGTCAATTTGTCTACACTGACTTTAAATGAGTCAAATACCATCTTTTAAAGCAGTCTTTTGGCTTCAACACATTACTGTGACTAAAGCATTTATCTTTACTAAATTTTAACAACCACAGCCATATCAAAATCATAGATTAGTAACAATAAAGCTAAGTTTATGCTAAACACACAAGTATTTAACTTTTAAACACACTGCTGAAAGATTTTTTCATGAAAATTTATAAACCTAGGACTATACTTCTGAACATCACAGAATCTGAATAAGTTGTAGCAAAATAATACTTTCTGTAATTTAAAAAACTGGCAACAGTCAGACCCGGAGAGACCTGTGAGCTGCTGCTGACCTGACTCCACAGTTTAGAGCACTTTCTGCTCTTATGGAGGGCCCCAGTTCACTTTCTACCCACATGGTTGCTCACAGCCACCCATAACTCAAGTTCCAGGGGATCTGATGCCCTCTAAGGCCTCTGTACGCACCAGGTATGTGTATGATACACATACATACATGTGTGGAGGCAAAACATTCATACACATAAAATAAATCTTAAAAAATGCCAACAGCCATGATTTTCCAGTTATTGGCAAATGAAACATCAATAAGAACTTATTGAGTGGACAGATTTTCATGAAACACAGAATTTACGTTATCAGAACCACCTGCTGTCTTTAAAATGTTCCTTAATTGGTTAAGGATAATAGCTTGGAGCTGATATAAACCCTAAGGTGCAAGAATCTGCTTTCCAAGAGGGGCAAAAGTAACTAGAAGACAGGCTGTAGGAAGTTTAAAAGGTAAGGAATAAATTAAGAAAGTAGAAGTGCCTTATGACATAAGTATTAACCTCTCTTGAACTGTAAACCATTAAAAAAAAAAGCAAAAACCAATCTGAGAGGAAAATTTGGGTCTTCACTTCTTTACACTGTTACACAAAACTGTTTAGATGATCAATCGCTTTTTCTTGGCTCGGTACCACACCCTTTTGTTAACTCCCTTTCCTTAACTGACACATAATTCTCATACAATTCATCCATTTATAGTGAACATGGAATTCAGTGGTATTTAGTTTTATCAGCCAAGTTGAGCACTTCTTATCACAATTAACATTTTTATCACTGCAAAAGATGCCCCACGCTGTCAGCGGTCATTCCTCTCTGCCCAGCCCTTAGCAGCCACCTTCCTACTTCTTCTGATTTACCATTCTGGACAGATCAAGTAACTGAATCCTGTGATATGGGTCTTTGGTGACTGGTTTCTCTCAGCATAGTGTTTGTGATGTTAGTTCTGTAAACTTGACATAATCTAGGATCACCTGGAAAAGGAATCTCAATGAGGGACACTGGTCTATAGGAATGGCTTGGGGGGATTATCTTGATTATATTAACTAAGGCAGGAAGACCTGCCCAATGTGAGTAGCACCATTCCCTAGGAATAGGGAAAGCAAGCTAAACATTAGCATGCAAGCATTAGATCATCGTTCTTTGATGCTGATTGTGGGTGTAATATGACTAAATTCTACTATGAATTCCCTGTCATGATGGAATGTAATCTGAAATTTAGAGCCAAATAAACCCTTTCTCCCTTAAGTTGCTCTTATTTAGAGCATTTTATTGTAGCAAAAAGAAAAAGAAACTAAGACAATGTATTCAAGGGTCATCTATGCTATAACATGAACCAGTAGCCCATTCCATGAAATTAAACTTCACAGCATAAAAATATTTTCAGTAATAGACATTGTACAACTAAATCACATTTTCTTCATCCATTTGTCAGCTGACAGACATTCAAGTTCTTTACACTGTTTTGCTATTGTGAATAAATACTGCTAGGAATATTCATGTTGACGCTTTTGGTTCTCATGTGCCTCAGAACAGGAAAGTGATGAACTCTATGACAACTCATTATAAACACGTGGGAACTGTCAGGCTATCAGAATAAGACTTTTAGTTTTCCTCTACAATTTCCAAAAGTCAGATTGGTGCATTTACAATGTTCTCAGCTACATACCAACTTCCTGGAGACAAACCAACATTGTGCATAGAGAATATACTTGCTTAAGATTCAAGAAATGAGAGAAAAAAGGAAGAAAAGGAAGGGAGAGAATAGGCTCTAGAAAATTGAAATGTTAAAATTTGACATTACCATCTTAAAATGATACAAAGATAAGAACAGGGTATGTTCAGACTATAAGTTCATTTACCTTGTGTTGCTACCAAATTAGAATTTCATATTCTAATTTTCTAATTTTATTTGTAGCCACATTAAAAATTCATATCTGATTAAACTTTTAGAATTAAGCACCAAAGACAGAGACATCAGACCAATTATGACAAGATATAATAAAACAGAAAACAAAAAAGTAAATAGCAATAAGAACAGAAAAAAAAATTTTAAGAGAATTTGAAGTGTGAAAATAGACATTCAAGTGGGGTTGAATTTTTACCCTGAAAAAGGTTAGAATTTTAAACTACACTAAATTTGCAATTTTTTCCCTAGGACATAACAAACCTCATCAATTACATGTAAAATGTTTCTGTTTTAAAAGGGGGGAACAGAGAGGGAGAACGGGAGGGAGGGAGGGAAATCAAGAAGCAGCTCTTTCGCTTTGGCTAGTCTACTAAACAATGCTACATCTCCACCTAGTGACGTGATAGCACAAAAGCTGACCATGAACTTTTAAGACCTCAAATGCAGAAATTTACAATGCTTCACTCTCTACAAAATCAATTTACCTTAACTCCTCTGGGCATATAATAATTTTAATACTGAACGACCTTTCACTATAAAATAGTAACAGAACCCAAACCTACTAAATGTTCTAATTATCCATGGCATTAGCTTTGCCATTACTATGAATATACAGCCAACTTCAAACTCAGTATGGCTCCTAAAACCACATATAAATAAAAATACTTTTAGTTTCATTATACATTGTAGTGGATAAATGATAAACAATTAAGAATTACTTCATTATTCTTGAAAATCTCAAAACATTACAATGTAGAGTTTCACACACCAGCCAGTCAATAGAATGCGGAGAGTATTATTAACAAAATTTTACACTAATATTCTCATAGGGTAATAAAATTCTTTGGATAAAATACATACTAAGCATCTGATTAAGGGTTGGGGATGTAGCTCTGTAGCCTAGTTTATGAAAGGTTGGGTTTAATCCCAAACACTATAAAAACAAAAAATAAAGCATTTTCTAAATAACAATCCTTTGCCAATGATAAAGTTTTCACTATTCAATTACACTAACAAGTGTTCCTTTTAGTTAGATTGGAGGTGAGAGTCCAGAGCAGTAACAAAGGAGTAGCAAATTTAAAGAGTGTAGATTATTACTTACTAATTCGCCTTTGGGGTAAGGGCGAGTGTAAAGAGTTCAGATTAGGAAATGGAATTTCTGAGGCACTATCTCTGTTTTGAAGCCTAAGGACAAACATTTTTAAAACAAAATCAGCAAGTAGGCAGAAGCAGGTAGAACTCTGAATCTGAGGCCAGCTTAGTCTACACAGAGAGTTCCTGGCTAGCCAAGTAGTTCTGGAGAGAATCTAGATTAAGTGACCACTTGCTTGAAAAGTCAAGGCAATGTCACACATGTCTGCACTGGCTCTCCCATGACATAAATGGTCACATGGCTACTGGGTGTTCGGCAGCACTAAAACAGGGTATTCTTTACTTACGTAATTTAACATAAAAATTAAAACCATTTTAAAAATCTCAAGAACTAAAATTCAGCTACTGGTATGGAATTTTCCTTTATACCTACAGTTTTTGTAAACTCTCCTTACAATAAATTCTCTAAATAAAAATGACTATTTTAAAGTTAGAAATCGAATTTTTTGAAAAGATATTGCCAAACTGTTTTTACCTGTACTATATTTCAGCTAGAATTTACTACTAATCTTGAAAAGGAAACATGGGGAATTATTATCACTGTCAGTAAATGTAAGTGATAGTCATTGCACTAATAATGCTTGCAGTGGTAGTATTTCCAGCAGATCCATCTTTAGCCATAAATCATTTTCAGAAATATCACATGGGAAACTTTAACAGATTTTGGAGCTTATTTGATCATAATTCTACTCCAAATCTACTCTTCCATCAACTATCAGATTTTATACTTAATCCATTGCATCACTTGTTTATGACATAAGGAGTGAGACTTTGAGTACTGAAAATTTTTAAATAAACATGTCATAAACAATAATTTTAAATCTAACAGAAGAAAGAAAAATCTTATAAACTCAAGTTTAAAATTGCTGTCAGAACAAAGCATACATAAATAGCCATAAAATATTTCAAAGACACAACGCCATTTTTATTATCTTTTATGTGGATTTGTCTGTGTGTATGTGCAGGTTCCTGCAGGAGAGCGCAAGCACACGCATGCCTCGGCTCACAGGGCTCACAGGGAAGTGTAGGGACAAGGGCAGTCCTTGCCTTCTAGCTCGTCTGAGACAGAAGCTTTTTGTAGGTTCTGGGAACCTGTACTCATGTCTTCATACTTGCATGGAAAGCACTTTTATCCACTGAGCAATCTCTCCAGCTCTGAGAATTTATTTTTTATTCTATGTGAATGGTGTTTTGCATATATGTCTTGCATACTGAGTGCATGCAGTACCCCCACAGGCCAGGAGGGGGCATCAGATCCTCCTGAAAGTAGAAGTACAGAGAGTTGGTAGCCCATGTGAGTACAGGGAATTGAACTCAGGTCCTCTGGAAGAGCAGTCAGTGCTTTAAACTGCTGAGCTCTCTCTCCAGTCTCAAAATTCTTATATTTTTATTATTTTAATAAAACAGCACCACACCATTATTTTCATATGGTAATAACATAAGGCTAATCAAAAAAACATAAACAGGTGTTTTCAAACTACCTTGCCAAAATCTCCAATTCTTGCCTTCTTTAAACACACCATTTTATCAGTTG